AGAGAACAGAGAGAGAGAGAGAGAGAGAGAGAGAGAGAGAGAGAGAGAGAGAGAGAGAGAGCTGCAGCATGCAGCATGCAGCATGCAGCATGTCAGTGGAGGGGAGCACAAGGGCAGGCGCTGACCTCCAACAAAAAGAATAAGTAATTTTATCGGAATACAAGAGTTCTTTCTTTTCAAAATCCGAATAGAAAGGGTACAGTACAGGTTGTATTCGAATACAACGTGTAGGACCGGCACCGTTTCAATTTTGAAAAAGGACTACCCGCACCGTTTCAATTTCGAAAAAGGACTGCGGCCTCCTCGGCCTCCTACTCGCAGCTACCGGTCCTGGACCGCGCAGCTACCAGTCCTACGTGGTCCTGGCCCTTGCAAGGCCCCAAAACCAAAAAATGACCACCCTCCCGACGACAACCACGTTGAAATTTGACGTTGAACGTTGAATGTCTCACGGGGGGAAAGCGCATCCCTGACGGGCTGCGAACTGAGTGGAAACGTCTGCCACGTCATATCTGCGCGTTTTCCAAAGCTTTGCCGCAAAGCAGTGGGGTTTCACAAATCCTCTTCCAAAGCCTTGCCGCAAAGCAGCGGGGTCCACCTCTTAGGCAGAATCCCCGAAAGAAAAAAAATGTAGAAACGTCCGTGGAGCCCGCAATTCTTCGAGGATCGAAGAATTCCTCGAAGAATCGGCAGTGGAGCAGGAAAAAAAAAAGAGGACAGCTCCGCCCACCTCTTGCACTAGCGGACGCTGCGCGGGAGCGGCTCCAGGTCAGCGTCGGAATCTGGGCCACGTTCCACTGAACCGGAGCGGTGGGACCCCGCCCATTATTCGGCGGACAAGTGCAAACCTGGAACAGGCGGGGAGCTGGACCGAAAGTTCAGACCGGCGAAAAGGTGCGCGCTGCGGAGTGAGCCAAATGACCCGGCACCAGGTCGCGCGTGCCTGGGCCCCACTGTGAGCAGCGAAAGCGCACCCGGCGCGTCGGAAAAGCGAGGATACGCGAAATCGGTGCGGTTTATTTTCATCGCGCCAACTGGAGCCCGCATTTTGGTTTTGGGGAGCGGGGAAGTATGTTGCTCTTGTTGACCTCGCCGACACGAGCTGTATCGTTCGGCTACGTCGGTAGATATAGATATATGGTCTCTTCTGATGCGGCAAGTCTTATGGACGGGGGCCGATCCTCGTGTTTGTTCTTCTCGTTCGTTGGTCAGTTGACTGATTGATCGATACGTTGGTGGAGTGATTGGTGTTGATTGCTGTGGTGTTTCGGTTAGCGCTGGAGACGCGAGCGTGGCAGTGAGGAGGAAGGCGGGGGGGGGGGTGGGTAGGCGGGAGGAGGAGTGGCGCGAAAGGCGCAAGTGAGAGTGGACTTGAGCAGGCGAAGATGCTGGACCATTTTAGCATCTTCACTAGGGGTGGGCTGGTCCTATGGACGTTCCAAATCTCGGGCTTGAAAGGGAGCCCCATCGACGCTTTGATCCGCTCCTGCTTGTTGGAGGAGCGATCAGGCGAGACTTCGTTTCATTATGGCCACGAAAACGCGTCTTATACATTGAAATGGACCTTTCACAATGAGCTGGGCTTGGTCTTCGTGGCGGTTTATCAGCGTTTCTTGCAGTTACTTTACGCAGACGAATTACTCGCAAGAGTCCGGGATGAATTCGCGGGAATATATCGAGAGAAGAAATATGCGTATCCGAAATTCGACGCTGTGTACGAACAGTTGGTGCAAGAAGCGGAGGCGAAGGCGGAAGAGATGAAGAAGATGAAGCAAGCCCAAGGAGGGGGTTTTGAGAGAAAGAAACAGGTGGGCGGAGGGGGAAGTGCGGGGGGCAGAGGGGGACAAGCAGGCGGAAAGAGCGGGAAAGGAGGGAAAGGCGGTGGTGGAGAGAAGCGGGGAAGCGGGGACGATCAGGATGACGATGGGGATGGGAAAGCGATTGGGGAGGCGAGTGAAGGGAGCGCACTTTTGAAGCACCAACAGTCGGCGGGGGCAACTGCCGCCTCGGGGGGGAAAGGGACATCGGCGCCCGCAAACGGAGGCGGTGCAGGCGCTGCCATCGTGCGCGCGCCTTCTGCCGCTAACGGCAAGTCGTCGTCGGCTTTCGACCTCTCCAAGCTGCGTCAGCGGAAAAGTAAATCGGTGGCCACTGGGGGGGGCGGGTCTTCAGCGTCTTTGGTGGGGGTACTGAGTAAGAAGGCAAGCGTGAAAGGAGGGCCCGAGGCAGCCACCGGCAAAAGAGTGAAGTCCATGCGGAAGTGGGATGATGATTCCGCTGTAGGAAAGATTGATTTCAGCGATTCTGCGGATATGGAAGCCAGCGTGAAAGCGCTGGATGTCAAGAAGGAGGTGTCGAGCGGGATGGATGTGGAGGAGGAAATAGGTGCCGAGAGCGAAGAGGAGGAGGAGGAGTGGGGCTCCGAGGAAGAAGAAGAAGAAAGCGGGAAAGGGATCGCTGCATCTATCCGTGACCAAGCGGGTAATGGCTCGGCTTATCGTAACGGCACGAGCAATGGCCACGCGGCTAATGCAGTGAAGAAAGGCTGGTTCTCGTCTGTATTCTCCAGGTCAGTCCCCTCTTCTTCTCCTCCTCTTCCTCCTCATCCATCCTCCTGTTGTTCCTACCCCTCCGGATCTTTGGCCACCTTATCTATGAAGTGCCTTTTAGTTTTCCGTTTTCCGGTAATGATTGTGTTGTTGTCTCATTTCTTTTTGGGAAGGTTTTCCTGATTTTCTGGTGTCAGCACTGAAAGGATGCGAAATTGCAAATAGGATTTACTGGCAAGGATGCCAATACGTAGTAAGGCTATTATGCTCTTCAAACTTCTTTTGCCTGGTTGCTTATCCGTCTTTTGCTTATTCGTCTTTCTGTTATGGAAGGGTTGGTGTGGTTCACCAGCAGCTTAGGAGACATAGTTGGTACATGATCGAACGCGGAACAAGAGCGAAAAGAGCACCCAAATATTCTGAAGCGAACCGTGACAACTTGAGGAGGCGTTTGTGTCCCTTTTTTCTGTTTTTTTTTTTTTTTTTTCTGTGTTTACGCGGTTTTCGCTGCTGTTCTGTCTTCGGTCCTGCCCTATATAGACAACGAAAGGACTGCCAATCAAGCTTGCTGTAAGTTGCCGCCTTCGTTGGTTGACGGATTCACCTATCCGTGTAGTGATTGATTGGCCAATGATCGTCGATTCACTGATTGGATCTGCCCGAGCGGTGAATTGAAAGTCCGTCAATCGAAAGCTGATCGAGCGAACTTTGGCAAGGTCGTTGTCTATGCACTGTGAGTTAGTGATGCTATGGCCGGTCGACCTTGTCTATCCACTGTGACTGAGTGAGGCTATGCTCGGTCGACGCGTGATAACCTCTCTTCTCCTCTCCCCCCGCCCCCCGGCTCCACCCCACCCCCCGAGGCTGAGATTGGCGCTAGTAAGCAGATTGATTTCCATATATAGCTAGCGGCTTTATGGACGTTTCGGTAGAGCTCGTGCCGGATTTACTAGTTCGTTTCCCTCCTTGTTGATTGATTCATGTCATACCGATTGACGTACTGATGGGTCCAGTTCCTCGGGATTTGACCAGATGCCTGGCAGGTCGTTGGACGCATGGGTGGATGGATCAATGGACAAATGGATGAATGGAGGTACTGGATGGATGCATGGATGGATGGATGGATGGATGAAGTGGGTGTTTTGAATTCGTGGGTGGGACAAGGCGATCTGATGGAACGTTCGATCTTTCTGGTGGTGCGTTGCTATTGATTAGTTTGATGATCGTGAGTCGAGCATGGACCAAGGCGATGCTACGTCCTCGGAGGGTTGGTTAAAACACGTTCTTGCAGTGTTTGGCGCCTTATCGAACGAGTAGGTGATGAGCGAGAGTAATCGGAGGGAGGTGATTTTCCCCAAAAACATGGGGAATAATCGCAGCTGTCGTGGACTCGCTCACGCGGGCTGGACTTAAAGAAAATAAAAAAAAATAAAAAAAAATGGGACAATTTCTTGATCTATGCATGTCATCCTTGCGCAGGGGCCATTCTAATCTTCACTCTCTGTATCGTTCCAATTTTAACGGATGTCCCGAAGGACACGCGGGCTGGATTTAGTTTTCTACTCTTTCCTTCTTCTCGTTCATGAGATGCATCATGGTTAAAATATCTCGCTCCCTAGTATTTTTGTTTATTTCCGCCGAATTGGTGCGCGCTTTGCGCATGACAGCAGCAGATCAGTAAGAGCGTTTTCCTTCACGGCCTCAAAACCTCTCGATTGACTGAAGAGATTCTGCTAGTTTCTTCGCCCGAATATAATGCCTACACGGGCATTATATTGCAGTATAGCTCGATTGAGGGTGTCGGGCACACCGCGCACGTTGGAAACTCCAGTGAACTATCTACATCAGTACGGTCGAACGAGCACGGACGTATTGGAATGGGGGAAAATTACGGCAAAAATCGAAAAATAAAAAAGAAAATCTAAGGGGAGGAACAAACATGGCTGGCGAAGCCTGGGCTTGTGCGTAGAGCATCAGCTAAAAAAAAAAAAAAAGACACTTCGAACGACTACTTACCTTCAGCACGGACGTAGAATCAGAGTGGAATTGGGGGGTAGAATACGGAAAATTTCGAAAATTAGGAAAAAAAATAAATTAAAGGGGAAGAATAAACATGGCTGCCGAAGCCTGGGCCTTGTGCGTGGAGCATCAGCTAAAAACTTCGAGTAACTACTCTACCTTCTTCACCCGAATACAACGACGTTCGGTCATTATTGCTTTATTGAGACGGAAAGATACCACAAATACAGCTGTAATGACCGTACGACGTTTTATTGGGGTGAAGGCGGTAGTACCTGTTCTGGCCGCCTTACCGCCTTCCCCCGAAAACAATGCACGCTCATCGTATGATTGAATCGGACACGGCAAAGGGGGGACCGAAACAGTCGTAATCAGGGTGCGTTCTGTTCGGCGGAAGACGGTATTTATCAAGAGGCCGACCCTTTTTTCATGTCGTACGTGGGATTTGATGAGATGATCCTATGGACAGAGTTGTATTCCGGGTTGTTTATTTTTTGTGTTTATTTTTTGCGCCGTCTGCTGGGGTGGGCCAGAGTTTGAGGAGGTGGTAGTGAGTGGTGGTTGGGCGGGGGGCTGAATGAATGAATGAATGGTGAAATCGATCGAATCGACAGAAGAGACAGAAGAGGCTTGGAGCCGTGGCGACAGGAACGGGTTTTAAGGACGGAAGAGGTACCCGCGGGCATTCGGAGTATTGAGGATTTACTGCGGTTTTTCATCAGAAAGAAAAATGAAGCTACGGTTATAAATTAATCGAATATTTGAGTAAAACAATCATGTTAAACCCCCCTTGGAACGGGAGCAGGGAAGGTTGGATATGTGCGGAACAATCATGTTAACCCCCCCTTGGAACCGGAGCGGGGGAGGGGGAGGGGAAGGGGTTGGGGAGGAGGGGAGAGAGGGAGGTTGGATGTGTGCGGAACAATCATCTTAAAACCCCCTTGGAACGGGAGGGGGAGGGGGGGGGGGAAGGGGTAAGGGTGAGGGAGGGGAGATAGGGAGATTGGATATGTGCGGAACAGTCATTTCTTGCTCGCGGGAAGGAAAAGAAGTGCGAGCTTGAGGTGGCGATTGAGAGAGCAGCGGGACGGCGATGACGAATTCGGCGGGAGTATTTTGGCGGGAGTATTTTGGCGGG